CCACGAAAGAAAGCTATATTTCAGTGCTAATCCAAGAGGAAATAAACAAGTTGTACGAATAGGCTGTTTCGTGGAATTTGCCACTTAGTGTTGACAAAAGTGGATTTATTCACATTGGTCGCTGTCTTAACTTAAATCTGACTGTATACACACATACACTCAAACCTCCCAACACTGTTCGTGACCTGGGTTTAAGATATAGCAACAGTCTGAACTTTACTGAGCACATTATATCTCAAGTATCCAAAGCTAGAAAGCTGATCGGATTGATGATGATAAATTTTAATAATATCGAATAGAGATTGTTATTATACAGAAAATGTATCTTACCCATTTTTGAATATGGTATTTTAGTTCACAGTAATTGCAGACATAATGACCTGATTAAAATTGAAGATGTTCAAAGAAAGTTCACCAAAGCTGTTCAGGGATATTCTGATAACAAAGACTGTCACCAAAGATGCCAACAACTCAACTTAGAACCTCTTTGGATCAGACGCATCAAGTTTAATCTTGTCTTTATCTACCGGCTTATTAACGGTATTTCTACTCTTCGGTATCCACCCCTTCATACCTTACGATATCATCCCACAATCTACGCAATAAGGAGAATATTCTAGCGATTCCAAGAGCCCACACAAACTTACGTCAGAATTTATTCCTTATTCGCTACTCAACCATGTAGAAGAGACTGCCAGTAAACCTCCGTTGAAGTGAAACTACAACCCGGTTCAAAAGTCTCTTTGATGATTTTCTTTCGGAAAGTGGATTATGTCACCTATTGAATATCAATGTCTTCAATAATGACTTATACAAACAAGGTCCGTCACCCATTTAATTGCCTGAAAAGCGAAATAAAACCTTTAGATCTTTTCACGTCTATTTTATTTTACTTCTATTTATCTTAATATATGAAGTATCTATAATTATTACTGTTATTATTATCATTATTGTTCCCCCGACACATTAGATATTCCTTTTATATCTTCTTATCCTTCTTAACATATTTAATTCCTGACTGTCCTTTAAAATTAATTGTGACTTTCATAGCATTATTCTTAATTATTATTGCACAAATATTTATACTAATATCCGGTTTCACTCTGTATACTATTACATAAATCTACATGCGATCAATGCTGAGAATATCGTTAGTTCCGTTCTTATCATCGATGATATAGTACATCGGTTAACACTGAAGAACATTGAATAGTCCTTCGTATGTTGTTTCGAGAGGTCGTCAAGATGACTCTCGACGTACAAAGACGTGTGCACTTTATCGTAATTCAGGTTGAACGAAAACATCAGTTGATTGCGGCCGAGTGGAAACAAGTTTAACTGAACTTATTGCGTTTGTAAGCCTGATGGTGTAGGAGTTTAGATCCATATTCATCGAAGAAGATGAAGGACCTACGAGTTCTCCTGGAAGTCGAAGTGTCGTCCGACAGACGAGTTGAGCTGCAGTGTGTCTAATGTCAGCTTCCACTGCATTGCGAATACCAAGTAAGACGAATGGAAAGGCGTCGGTTCACTGTGGAACGTTCGCGGCTAAGAGTGAAGCTTTAAGCTGTCGGTGAAAGTGTTCGATCAAACCATTTGCATGTGAGTGGTAGGTGGTATTTCAGAATCGTGTGATTCCTTATAATGTAGTCAGACAACAGAAAAATCCAGATTAAAAGTGACGTCTACGATCTTTAGTGATAGCCGAAATTTGCTACCCATCGTCCGACGAAGGTGTGGGCCACTGTTTCAGCAGTAATATATTTGATAAGTACTGCTTCTGACCATCGTGTGAAATGTTTTTCACAAGTCCTTGCTTACGTTGCTAGTCGATTTATGTTTATGTTACTTACTGGCCAATTTTGCTAAAGCTTAATGTTACAAGTTTATTCTGCTGAAGCATGTAGATGCTATTAAAGCTTGTTAATAAATTAACAATAACAATTAATATAGATGACCAGTTTTTATTATCGATTGAGCTAGTAAGTTATGAGTACTAATCAATATAACATTGCAACAATACATGCTCCCATTAGTCAGAAGACTAATGGAATAATGGGTTAACATAAGAAAAAAATCGATCGAGTAGGAATAATTATGGTCTACTATGATATTAGTACTGCTCTAATAGCAGACCTAATCCTAAAATTGTACATTTGTCATGGTGTAATTGCCCAATCTATGAGATCTTACGTGAAAGTCACATTATTGTCTACATTGACTCATTGTATCGTAACAATTACCGATGGATGATGAAAAACACATTCAGGATGGAGATAGAACAATATTTAATATTGGTAACAGTAAGTTGTGCAGAGCGACCATGCCTGTGAGACCGGGTAATGCCATCCGATCAATTCGAATTCATTTCATTCATTGTCCCCGCCTTCTCCATCGTTGGGATTTCCCCCGTGTCAGATGTTGAACATCTATTTTCCCAAGTGTCTCGTGTCCAGCTCTGAGGACTGTGTGGTTAGGGCCCAGTGCCACTGCAAACCCATTGTTGTAGGACTCCTCGGATTGCCTAGTCGGATGCTTCTGCTGCGATACTGATGGGTGATTGGGAGTCCTAGTATGATAGCAGTGTTGCTTTGTAGATACATTTCTTAACTGCGAAGTATTTTTTTCGCGATATCGTCCAAAACGATGAATTTTGCACTTTTACGAAGTTGGTCAGGTAAAGGTCTCACAAGAGACGTGAATTTCGGTATGAACCGTCTATAGGAACTTACAAAGCCGTTAAATATGATTAGTTGCTTTAATGTGGTCGTTTGAAGACAAGGTCCAGATGTTAGAGATGAGATTCTTTGTCAGTCATCAACATACGAATGTAAGAAAATGAAACCTTGAAAAACGTCACCGGCGAACTTCTGGAAGATTTGTGCAACATTTTCTCGACCGAAGAGCCTGTGTGAAAATCAGTTACTGAGTTTAAGGTATCTGTCAGGTCGTGAATGTGTAACAAGGGGTAATGATTGGGAGTAGTTTTTGTATTCAGTCGCCAACAACCAACAGTTCTGCACCAATCGTTCCTGTCCGTTTTAGGGATTATGTGTAAGAGAGATGCTCATAGGTTGTTCGATGGCCAGGTGATTCCTAAGTCTATCATGTGATTGAATCCGTTTTTAGCCAACCTCAGCGTTTCGGGAGCAAGTCGGCGCACTTTCGAGAATAACGGTGGTCCTGTAGTCGTGATGTGATGTGCAACATTGCTGGTTAAACACAGCAATTTCGGTTGCGTTTGGTATATCCCAGAGTACTCATCGAGTTGTTGATAGAATGGATGTATTGTGTGTCTAACTGTGACTGGAAATAATCCCATCTAATAACCTCCGTTTGCGCATGTCGATGAGTAGATTGTGATGTTGTAGGAGGTCCCTACCAGTGGTTTGCATAGAAACATCTGCAATAACGAAGATCTAATGGGGGAGGGTAAACCCACGTTAAGATAGACGTATCGTTTACCATATGCAGCGATAGGTTTTCGTTTTTCCGCCTGTAAGTTTAAAATTGATTCGTGAAGCCGGTCATTAGGATTTGTTGGAAGAACGCTAACTTTTACTCTAGTATCAACGAGATAGCGAAATTTCGTAATCACATCAGTGACGTACAATACACGGCTGTGTTTTACTGGCTACGGTTGCCGTTAACGTTTGCCGGCTAGGAGGTTTCCCGAAATGTTTTTCATGTCGGTCGGTTTGGAGTTTCGAAATTTACAAGATAAAGTCGAGAAGATTTTCCGTACTGATTATGATACCAGCACCAGTCGGGGTTATCTTTCTCTCGTAATCTGGAGATAGATTGCTGTCGTGAAGAAATTCCTTTGCGGTTTTTGTGATAGTTTACGGTCATTACGAACACGACGTGACGTGACAGCGTAGGACAGTTCCGTACTGTCATTCTGTGTCGCTTGAGATTTTTATTTAACTGAGAAAACCTCTGCATAAGAAGATTTAGTGATCTCTAAAATGCGGTCGGCAGATGCAGTTACCTCATCTACGGCGTTGTTTTGAAACGAGATAAGCACTGCTTTCACCTGTTGAGGAGGTTTAGACAAGAAATGTTGTCTAAACAGGCCATCGTTGAAAGTTCTTTGACCAATTACTTCTCTCATTCGTAACAACATGTCTGCTGCTTAATCATGTTGCAGATCTCTGTTATCAAAGAGTTGATCTAACCTTTGTCTGCCGGTTGGGTCTCCTTATTTCAGTGTAGACCGTTTTAGAGTTTCGTAAGGTTCTAAAACATCGCTAGTAAACATACTAGATGTGACGTACCTGTTGAATACGCGCAGTAGTACATTCACTGCTGAGAGGAATTATGCACGTGGGTTGGTCACCCCGTGCAAGTAGAAGTCGGCCTCTGCGTAGCAAAACCAGGCTTTGATGTTGTCCGGCCAAAAGGACAGCTGAAATGAGGATGTTATTATAGTCCTGAACTTAAGTACTTTGGGATTCTGTTCTGTCATGGCGAATATGAAGTACAAGGATGAACGAGGGTAAAAGAATATTCGAAAATACGAAAAAAATCACAATATGTAAAGAGTGAAACAAAGCAATGATATGTGAAGTTCCAAAAATGAACAGACTCACAGTTTATAAGTTAGTGTACCACATCACGCCGGGTTCACCAGTGAAGATACCACAGGTATTTATAGTTTGATAACACTTTAATCAGTAACACATTCTTTAATTAAATCGTGCCTACCCAACAAAATCCAAAGTTATGAGCGAGGGGGTTTGAAGATATGTTTGATAGGTTATCAATATATGGAGAAGCGACTGATCTAAATCGGTTAGCGGTTTGCAGGAGAAGTTGAGCATGGCGTTTCCACTAGTGACCTGGTGCGGATGCATGACCGAGCGCATTCAGCTAGGCGAGTCCATTAAAACTAATGTGGTCAGCATCCAATGTCGAAGACTTACAGAGCTATTAACTTGGGGATTTATTTACCGCTACACATTATTCCTCTAGCGAAAGCTATTAATATAGATTATCCAATGACTCAAGAACGGCTACTCAGAATTCTTATAGATCGTTTACTTTTAGGTGAGTGCACGAAGGGTGATTGTTAAGAAAGAGACTGAAGACCAATTTGAATATCTGACGTCCTTACACGTCCAAGGTCGCTGGTTATCCTAACGCTGGTTAAGTGTTGCTCGGTTTACTCGTGAGGATTTTGTCCCGGCACATTCAAATCAGTCAAATTACTGTCAGTTACTTTCATTGTTAAACGTAAGTGCATCCTATCTGATCACTGAGTTGTCCTCTCATTTTATTCGTACTGTTTTATCCTGATTTAAATAAGGGGGAATCCCCTCCACACACACACTGTCCGGACAGTGTTGGGGGTGTAAAGATCCTACATCTCCAATATGCAACCCACCTGCATGTCAGACATAAACCTAACAAAAACTAAACGTTATACGAGTTTCCAGCAGTTATTTGCCACATTCAGGTCCAGAAGAGGAATTTATCCATAAAGGCCGAGACGATCAAATTCAAATCGTTTGGTAATCTGACAGTGCAATCTCTATTTTGGCGAATTTCGGATAATCTTGAGGTTTTCCTCAAAGTCGTGAAAAGTTTGGTAGCTTTCCTCAAAGTCTGGAGAAAACCCAAAATCTTGGGGATTTTCCCCGGACCCAGGAAAAATTTGGGGGTTTTGTCCTATTTCCTCAAAGTTCCCTATTGTAGCTTACCCAAAACGAACATAAGTTTCCCCAAAATAGGGAGGTTGAGAGGTTTTTATTGGCAATAACAGACTACGGGACTAAAATCTTTAACGAATATCAATATTTATTTATAAGATGGCAAAAACGGGAAAGTGTGTATACTATCTTAAAGTAAACTTGTAATACGTTAGTAAAGTAGCGATTTGATTCGTAGAATATGAAAGATGAAGATGACTTGTTTGGACCCGATCCGATTATGTTCATTGCATTATTGATATCTCTTTGAAAGCCATACGGATTAATGTGCTTGTCCCCAATATTTTCTCCGCATAATCGAGTCGGTTTTAAGCTATTGATGCAAACTCCTTTCACACCAATATTTCACCTAAGTGTAAGCACCTATGTAGTAATTAGTTGTATATTGAACTCACGGAAATAGGAACTTTCTGTGGCTTAAATTAAAATACCGTTATTGTGTTCACACTTTCCACTCAGTTTCTAGTCCCGTCATACGTGAATTTATGTTCTATGGCACCCAGCTCTAGAGACCCTGAATCACGTCCATTTTCGGCCCTGGAACAGGACTAATGGGAGTGGGTTTGTGTTAGTATCCCCATGGATTATGTCTTTGAATACAGTTATGGATAGAGGTGATAGCACTTGTTTTAGCATTTCATCAGTTAGCTGACATACTGTAAGGAAAACAGAAAATCCGTCATTTTACAAGATACAACAGTCGTGAGTTTACATTCGAACGGTGTTCCTTATGCTTCCACTATACCTTCAATCATAGAATGCTCCCTATCCAAATCGTACCACAGAAAAGCTAGCCATTCAGCGACTTAGAAATTTATGCTTAATGTCGCCAGGCCCCAATGAGTTCTATTCCGAGTATGTGGAAATATATTTTGCCTTGTATAAGTTGTAATATCTTCATCTTCCATACCATTTGGTGGATTGTTACTCGGAGACTAACAGTTTTGTGAAGTACTTCAATTATGCTTTTAAATCAGTATTTTCAGCAAATCGGAAGTAATTTAAACCCTGACGACCAAACAGAGGCACCTGATATGACTAGCCTTATAATTTACCAAAATTAGGACCTATATATTTCTGAAGAAATACTAGTGTGCTTATTAACTATTAACTAACTCACCAGTTACTTGGGTGTGAGTTACGCTATAAGTATGAAGGGTAATATTACCATCCTGTTGCTCAAACTGAATTAGGTGGAGTAGGCTCCAAACCTAGGATATAGTGGGTAAAAGTCGAATGTCTTAATCACTGAGCCATCGCTACACTAGTATACTTATCAAATCCGTTTTCTAGCAAGCTTTGGCATTTAATAAGCAATAAGGCATATCAGTCAATGTGTTAAGTAGTACTTTAATGGGGGTGATCACTTGACCATTGAGAGTTAGTTGTTTAAACTTGCTTAGTTCCAAATCAACTCTCCAAGTTAGTATTATCTCACATTTTTTTACGTTTTAGATAGTTATCTGTTGCTTCTTGATCAACGCCTTGTCTTTTGTCCGTTATTAAACGGGCGCTCATTACCTGTAATAATGCCTATCCCGGAGTTGTTTAATATATTGCTCCAAGAGTTTGTGAATTTCAAAGTATTGCAATTGCACAATAACCCTGTTATTATTGATGGAGAGGACTTTAGTGAATATTTTTATGAATATTTAAAATTACCTATAAAATATGGTGGCGAATATTTATCTTATATTGTACATATTAAGAAGTTTTTGAGTGAAATCAAACAATGCAAGATTTATCCATCCTTTCTGTTTGGTTCCGATTGTGAAAGAGTCGTAAGTTTTTAATTTATTGGGAATATTTATTTGAAGTCTGCATCCCAAGTTTTCAGAGTATGAACAGATTCCCGATTATGAAGAACTTAATTTTTTATTATCTAAACGCTTCAGGGATCATTGGAAATCTAGCAACGTAAAATATCACACTGTAGCACACCAGTTAGTTACATTTTTTACGACAGTAAAAATTTAAACGAATATTTCGACTAATTATAAATAGAAAATGAGTACATATAAGACAAATCGGTAACGTCTCATTTTCTGTTATAGGATGACCATCACTTCCCAATTCCACACATTGTAGAAGAATATTGTTTGAGATATCTGAAAAGTGGATTAGTGTTGGTCCTAGAGACCCAACATCTTGAATGCACCACCCAATGGGCAACTGCTTGAGGCATCATACACAGCATTTTTGTGGGGTTTCGGTAATGTAAGTAATCTATTCACCCTAAGACACTGAGTATTAATCCAAATACCGTCATCATACATTCTCGTGTAATTCATATAATTCCATGGGGGTGCCCGAGTAATTCATAAACTGGAATATATTGGTACATGTACAAGTTTTATAACTACACCAAAGATCGAGTACGCTGTTACTATAATCTATGAACATAAATGCTATTTCCATAGTCGATGCTTACCACATTAAAAATTGTCCATCCAATATTAGGGTAGGAAATACTTATGATCTCAGCTTAAGTATTTCACTAAACGTTACGAATCCGGACATTTTTATCAATACTTAAATCATCGCGAAAACAAGTAATTTCATGTATCTCAGCATATTTAACTAAGAAAAAAAGATATGTAGTACAATAAACCTAGTGTTTGATTTCTTTTGTGCTTTTTTGGAAATCTACGCCATCAAAATAGAAATAGTACTCTGAATTTCACCATCGGACTTCTAATTCACACCAAGTAATCATAATTTATGCCAACATCAAGGAAAATACTAAGTAAGGGGATATTGTCACTCTGGAACGGAGGAATGGATTTATTTGGAATGAATTGTATCGTCAACTCCCACCTCACTTATATGTATTTGCCAAAGCAGTTACACTGCTAAGACATAAAGAGAATCTTACGTTCAATTCAACGAGTATATTGCAAAAAGTTTGAGGTCAGGCAGATTAAAAGGTTCTAGCAGTGATATTTCATGATATTCCTTTGACACAGGACATCAAGTTTATACATTGAAGTCGTTCAAGGTGACTAATAAAGAATCGAACCCCTCATCTTCTGAAATCATCTAAAGCCATGATCAGACGTTTGAAATTGGACTTAAGTGTTCAAAAACAAACGGTGATAAATCTTTACCGTGGTAACATTACACTCACTTTATTACATCATCCCTTGTTTCAACTCTTTCTCACACCTTAACAACACCACTTTCATTTCTTTGAATTTTTAGTCTTATTTTTAGCGGACTGGTCTCGATCCATGTTACGTGTTACTGACATGAATCTGTGTTCAATTACTTTACTACGTAATCAACTGGAAAATTTGGGTCTGTGACCTTTAGCTAACTTCTTGATGTTCTGGGACTTTCCCTCTCATACTGCATCTGTTTTAACCACCTTTACGTTCTTATTAGGCCATTTGAAATCTTCGCTCTACCATAATATACAATCGCTTCTAATCGATTTCGCATTTATAATTATGTCAATTTTCCTGATAATTTTAACATATTATAGGTCGTAGGTAACTGGAAAGTTAAATAGAACAAAGTAAATTCATGTTGTCCTGTCCGAATGTTTGTTTTTACCCCGTTCGAGATAAAGGGAACTATAGGTGTGGAACTCCGACGTCATTGGTTGATTTTTAGTACTTAATTGTGGTATTGTGTTATTTAATTATACGTTGTCCGATTTGAAAAATTCGTGATTCTTATTTGCTTTCTAATGGTCAGTAAGTAAAGCATGACATAAAATCCGTAAGATGTCTTTTTACCAAATTCGTAATACCATTATCTAACTTTTATCTGCGCTGTTAAAATTAGCTTGTTCGTATTCACTGTTTTTTTGGGGGGGGATTTCAGGGCTTACAACTTTCCAGTCAACTTCAAGCAATGGAATCAACAATAAAATTATTATCTTCAAGTAATACACAAAAGAAAAATTCATCGCCTATACCTTACTATATGTTTCTTCAAAGTATGTTAACAGATGTTCTCAGTGATATGGAAATAAAATTTTTAAAGTCTCCTTATCCTCGTATACGAAGTTGTGTCTCATTAGCTAATTATCTTCACCATCCAATCATTGCTAGTTCTCCTGAATATTTTTTAATCGGTACTCACCAGATGTCATCTGATACATCTCCTTGTTTTATCCCACTATCACTCATGAAATTTCAATGTTTGGAATCCAAAGGGAGTTGTTATTGTGAATCAATAGATGCAGAATCACAATCCATCCAAACTCCATGTCGTTTCTTAACAGTCCATGAATTTATTCCTAAACCATCTTCAGTTCATCCAGCCTGTCGACCGTTGATTGGCTTGTTACTTGGTACAGACTCAATGCCTCACACAAAACTCCCCAACTACTTGTATTCGATCATAAACAACATAGAGAAAAGAAGCTACAAATTTCGACGCTTTATGACTCTGGTTTCATGGTTTTCCCAATTTAGCACTAATCTACAGACCCCAATCGATGAAATCCTAAAATGCTACTCTTCCAAAGAAAGAGGTAAGCTCTTAAAAATGTTCGCAGAATCACTGGCGGGATACTTTCCAGACTTATACTTAGGTCAAAAGTTATCTGTTTCTCTTCATCAAGAAATTTCAGTATCAACTAGAAATCAGTCGAATCCTCCAATTTTTGTATATAGCACACAGGAACCTAATTCCACAACCGAAATTGCATTATGGCAAAGACGTCTTGGTGATTTGTTAAAAGGTCAGCTGACCATTATCCTAGGAAGTATGGATTTTACACAAGGATGGTCAAATTATTTATTACAATTATATTTTAAACATAAACTTGCACCATTCATTTTAACTCCTATCTATTGTCAAGGTGGCGTTGTTATGCCTTTATTAATTGAAAATTCAAATATTGAATTGTCAGCCTATGAAATTTCACTACCTTTAAGATGGATGCACTATCGTTTATTATGTGGTATTGAACATAACCTATCACATAAACAAAAACTAATCGGTTTAAATCCTCATATTTTGGAATATCACCGTGTTGGTGATACACTAACAACATATCAAATTCAAGTTGATCCTTTAATTTTAAATCGATATGAAGATACAACAGATAAAATACTTTCAGGTATAGTTGGATTTTCATTTTCTAATTTTAATGTTGAAAGAAAATGGATCGTAAGTTTAGCACTGACCTTAACATTTTGGTTTCATGCTATTACAAAAAATAAGAGCAATTTACGCGATGATCTACGAAATTCTCCTATTGTTCTAGCAACTGTAGCAATTGCTGTCACCAATTATTTCAATGTTATAGAATCAGATGAAAAAACAGTTGAACATTATGGTATTTTGATTAAATTCCTGAAGGATAAGTTGTCTGATCGACTATCATCATCGTGTGTTGATTCGTCTGTTGTTCATCACTTTACTTCAATTCACACTGTATATATCTATCTACGATCATTGACACATTTAATTGATGAATTGGTACTATCTGATCGAAAATCTAATTCTTTGAGCTTTCTTCCGTCATGGATATTCTTTCCGTCTGGACACTTATTTTATAGTCTTGTGATTGATATAGAATCACTTAAACCAGATGATAGATTCCGTTTAACTTTACGCTATTGGCTCCCTCGTCTTTATCGTATTCCAAAGTTAAACTCTGAATCCGCAATGAAATTGCAAAAATTAGCTGAAATTTATGAACGTGTAATAAACATTGCAAGTGAGATTATATGTTTACCAGTATTTGCTCCAAATATTGTATATACAAAGGTACCAACAACTATTCCTGTCATTGATTTGCTTAAAAATGAAACACCTTCAAATGCCCCAAGTTCAGTTAGAACAACAAACACTGAAAGGAGCTTACAAGATAAAAATTCAGAATTCAAGAAAAGATCACACTCTTCTATCAATATTAAATCAGATATCCCACTGTCTAAATCTAAACAATCATTACCTAATCGTCATTACTCAGAAAAAACATTGGTAACGTCTAAAAAACAATCTCGAAAATTACCTTATCATTTACGCTCTACTGGTTATGCTGCTCGTTTACGTGCCAGACTTGAAGAAACAGAATAAGATATCAATTATTTTTTCTTTGTTGTTGGTTACTCTATTTTAAATTTGTCAATTTCCTTCAACTACCGATTTTATTATGCCTTTCAAGTTGAAAATTATTCCGGTTATTTTTCATTTTCTCATTATATTTTCCAAAATATCAGCATTTTTATTGGAGAATATCAAGTTTGTTTTTTGCCGTACTCGTACTCCTATACCTTTCAATGGGCTTTTTTTATTTAAAGTGTATCTCAGTTGATCTGGAGACTATTGTTTTGAAAACATGTTACTGGGTTTTTAAGGTTCCTAGTATTCTTTTGAAAACACAAATGAACTCGATGATATGGGTAAAAACGCCATTAAGCACTTTACTTTTTATTTAAGTTCTAATCAACGTTGTCTCAAGTGTAACACTCCTATTTTCAACCAATTCAATAATAAGATGCTAGATGTCTTGTGTGGCTTAAACTAATATTTCTTCGTTATTTGAATTGTTGGCAAGTACTGATCACATTTCAATTGAAAGGATCTTGTATACTTCTCAGTTTTTATGGGCATTCATCTTAAAAGACACTGTCTTCTTATAGGTCTATTTAATTAGTGTTGACTCCGTCCTTGTAATCTTGTGTACCAAGCTTATTCAAATTATCATTCTAACCACCTCTGAGCTTAAACTCACAAGTCTGAAAAGTGCCATTTCGCAAAACAGATTGTTTCTGAAATAAACTGCATACATACAAGGACTTTATCTTAGCTATTGTGTATTCTATACTTGTGGCTGAAGACTATTTGGCAATATACTTATTAACCAAAATTTATATGACTTTTCACTGAATTACATTTAGCTTCAGTACAGATAATTGAATTAAAACTTTACCGCCAACAGGTTTCAATATCATCAGTCATTTCCAAAGACACTCCGTAGGTAATTGTTATTTCGAAATCGTCACCTTACGAAAACAAATAGGGAGATCCTGTGTCATATTAGACTTTTGTGGTAGTATCCAGCTATTTAGAACTCTGTCACTCAGAAACAGCATAGAACCTGGCACAAGTGGATCGGGCCACGTTACCACACCACATCAACACGGTGAGCTGAAACTATAAAGATGAATATCAATGTAGTAAGTTCAGTGGTAGCAAAAAAGATTAAGCATGAGAAATATAGTTCAAGAATAAGTAGCTACCAAAAAGTCTTGAAACTCAGTATCTAAAGGAGGAGGAAGAGCGCATCTGAGTTATTGCAATCGATTCTGAGCCACATTATTCCATGCATTCAACTGCCATTTACGGTAATCTCCTGGCCCCCTAACAAGTAGTCTGCACTAATAGCACAGATCAACAGTCAGAGAATCTGTGGATTGAAGCTATCCAGATCTAAAATAATGGAATTGATTGCCTTTTCTGTTTAGAATTATTAGAAATCAACAGACGAAACTATATCTTGAGCTACTGAAGGTTTGTGATTGATGGAGTCTATGATACCAAAATAGTGTTTTCTAATTTTTTATTAAGTCTAATATATATTGTAATGTATAATAATCCACTCAACGTGGTTTTTCTGTTTAGAAATTTGCACAAGTATGTCATTAATAATGCTTTATTAGTTGAACTAACCTTTTGACTGATAAAATAGTACTTGGGAAGTCGTTAGTTTCTCGTTTCTAATATCCGGATACAATTAACTAATGAAGATCCGTATTGATTGCAAATTTTTCTGACCTCTCCTATTGTGGGAAGGTCACATCTCTGCAGATCCTGATTGTCTGAGTGAAATACCCTACTACCCTCATGCCCTTTTACATTCAGCAGTAAGCATCGCTCTCGAACCATAAGTTTGCTGCTTCCAGTTATTACCTTTCTCCAGCCAACCTACCTGAAATGATAAGACCCAAAAGAGTAAGTATTTCATGGTAGCAGCTAAGGAAATAATACGTATGTGTACTTGTTTAATCGTATGCGCCTGTACAAATTATTTCTGAACTGGTAGGTGACTAATTTCATTTTTCGTTGCATATAATATAAATCGACTTAATCATTTATACCACGTGATTGGAAAATACCATCCAATTAAGTATTTGTTCGCTTTTAAAATTACTGAAAGTTGAAAAACTTTCAAAAGCTATGAAATTAAATCTTTCTCAAGCTCTAGGGAACTGAATGTTCAAGGACATGAAGAATTTTTAGTTATGTATACGCAAAATATATCCTTAAAATCCACTAGAAAATACTACACTATGGTGTACGTACACATAACTCAGGTCACTTTATACTACAGTGTTTTCAATTGTACTAACAGTGGACACTAGTCAGTATTGTTAATGTGGTTAATAGACTGCATTCCTTGGGATACTGAGTCTATCAATGCATACGTTAAAATTTGTTAACTATCTGTCAACCTTTCAGTCTGTCTCAGTGAAACTTTACTTCTTACTTTTTGATGCTTTAGATTGCGAAGAACCTTCATAAATTTACCGGACATATTTCAGTCAGTCAGCTACAGCGTAGGACCAGGCACATATGTGCATCGGTCCAAGCTGCCGTACCTCACTAGCACAACAAGATCAACTCCGGATTCATAGTATTTAATTCAGTGGTGGTAATATATGAAAGAAAGATTGCATATAAGAACATAGTACAGGAAGAAAGAAAGTTGTGAAGCGCTTTTAATCTCATAGTTTAAAGAAAGACAGTGAGTGTATACATATACGCCATGGTGATCGATTCTGAGCCATGTCATGCAGCTAACTTGAAATTCATGTTTCTGTTTACACTATTATCAGCTAATTGTAATATAATATATTCATGTTCAAACTAGGATCATGGAGATTAGACATCAAGTCGCGTATTAGTTACGGATTTCAGTCAATATTTACCAAACGTAGGTTTGCGTCAATACAAAACAGATGTTTCTTATTTTTCGATTTATAACCAACTAACAGCTATTTATATGTCTGTGCCTATATACACCGTGTTATCCGTTGCGTACATTTATCAACAGAGGTCACTCATTTGAATTTAAATCACCCAGGATGTTTTTCAGAAATTTAAAAACGAGTGGTTCTCGTTACTAGCTGATTTATGCTTTGATTATCTTTTAGCCAGATAACTTACTGATTGTGAACGAGTACCTAATCAAGTAGTAGAGTCCTGACGTCTTTTTGCAACATTAACACCTATCAAACATGACGTAACCAAGTGGCTCTTGAACTAATTAGTGGGTGAAACATTTACAGAGCTATACTGGAATTCACAAATCTTCGAGTGACAAAACTCACCGATGCTGAAATTACTCAGTGTCTTAGTCTAAATTGCCTATAATTCCGTTTGTAGCAAGTGCAAGCATTCAGGGGAACTTGAACAGGACGTATCGCTTAAAAGAAATTAGATTAGGCGAATCAGAAACTAACTTGTAGGAGGGTAATATAAAACGATTTCAGTGTGCTCCGGCCTTCATCATTCCATTAAAAAAAAATAAAAGGGATGCGAAAGAAGAACAATGTTAACCACATGATTCTCATACGAAAATAACATGTCTAAAATCATACAAGTAGTGTTTGTGTATTTTGTAGATTGTGTAATTTCCTCATTTCTTATCATAAGTTATCTAAGAGTTATTAATTGTCAAACTCCCAAAATAAAATTGATAGCTTACCTTAAGGAGTTACTGCCTACTTCTGAGATTTTAGATCTGACAATAAAAAGAGTAAAGTCTTAGCACTTCTCTAGATTCCTGCTGGTTTTTTCCTTTGCTAGAAATCTGTGCGCTACACCATATATGATATTTCATCTGTTACTAGATGTCTCAATCGCTTTTAAATTCACCATTTTCACTCCGTTATTTAGATGAAAATACGCCTACTCCTTGAGATCGAACGTTCATTTATTATCATTTCTAAGATACATTGAAGCAGTTCTAAATTATGATTGAATTTGCATTATACTAAACTAATTTTAGTTATTTATATAGGTTATAGTATTTCCTTATTTGCAATAGTTCTTCAATCAACATAAAATTCATACTAAAAACCATCATGAAAATAAACTTTACGTATGGTAGGTTTTTGGTGAATGTTATCAGGGCGTAAATTCACTTGGTATTGTTTACTTGGATTTTCCCATTGATGTTTAAGACTACAACTGATCGGTCTCTTATTGGCATATGTGCATAGTATGTGTATTGCCTCGATATTGCCTTAATTCACAAGCATTATAAACAAAGATGAATAGTGGCTAGCGGTGGAATCCAAGTAAATAATACCAAGTGAATGTAAACTTCATCCCATTGCACAAGCAAGTGGCTATCAGGACTCAGTAGCTAAGTGGATAACGCGATGGTGTTTGAAGCGAACGTTACAGGGTTCGAGTCGTGGAGTGAACATCAACTCTGAGATGCAGGTACATCCAGCTGACAAGTCCCAAACAGGAAGGAATTTTCATCCTGGATTCCATTGCTAGCCACTATCCATCTTTGCTTATCAGGGCGTAGTTTAGAAATTGTGACCGGAATACAAACCTAGTATTTAAGTTATCTAGTCCATAAACATTGTAGACTTAACATCTTACTGACTTAAAAGTCATTGGTAAATGAATTCTAACAAATCAAAATTAATATGAGAATTTCAATGGTTAAGATCATGAGGAGTCCCACAATAGGACGAAACGGCCGTCCAGTGCTTCCAGGTTTTCCATGGTGGTCTAGCTTCAATTGACTCATGATCTTAACCATTGAAATTACTATAATATCCACAAAACCCATCTGATATTAATATGAGAATTAACATTAAATTTTACTTACAATTAATGTTCCATTCTTACAAACAATAAAATACACAGACTCATTATAATTTCCATGTTTCATTCTGTTCTCATTTATCATTTTATTCTAATTCATCAACTGAAATGTAAATATAAACGCTAATAAGTTCTTCAAATGTTCGATTTCATCATACTATATTAAATTTTTCTTTAATTATCATATATTTTTTGTATAAAAAGTGTTTAGGTCACATCAAATCCTACTAAGCCTATTAGTTAATGAGTTAATAGCACTACGGTGACGACCTTCACCTTGACATTTTATGAGATTTCACAATTGGCGGGTAGGTAAAAAGAAAACCAAACATTTAATTGTAATGTTGAATATTATTATTTCTCGTAACTGTTTGATCAAAACTATTATTGGTGTAATATAATTGTTTAGTCATATATATTCTTGTTAATTATTGTGATTAGTATTTGATTCAATGGCGAGTAGTTTATACAAATCTCGTCCTGAATATTTACAAGCTCCGAAATTTTATGGATATAAAACTATTAGTGTAGAAGAGGAGAAAAAACTAGTTGAACGTCTTAGTAAACCAACAATTTCGATTATTCAAGCTCAATTAGCCAGCTTATCTAATCGAAGTCATCATCAAACATTAGACATTCAAAATCTAAAATTCAATAATGAAAGTAACAGTGTTAATCCTATAGAGTATTATGATGGTGAAACATTAACTAGCCGGGGTATTTCATCGCCACCATCGTCGCCATCATTATCACCATCGAATTGTTCAAGTCGTTTGGTTGACTTGAGATCAATTGATGATTATGAAAATGTTTCGGATAGACTGAATAAATTAGCAGAAATCTGGAATAGAACTGGAAAATCTAATCCACTTTTACCACCGTGTGCATGTGCTCGTGGTGAATTATTACTGAAAGAAGATAATGAAAATTGGATGATGAACATACATTGTCATTGTTCTAGCGCTTGCTCTAGTGTACATAATCGATATACTTCTATTCAAGAACCAGTTGAATGGA